AAAAAAAAAAAAAAATTACTCCCAGTAACATACCCTTAGAGGTTGATGGACCCAACAAGACAAAAGAAGCACAGAAAACCATCCCAATCTTCGCTTATCATTCTAATAGAGGATAAAGAGAATGATAAAATGAGAAGCGCCAACTCATCATGTTGTAATTTCATGATAAAGAGAGAGTGTGTGAGATAGGCCATCTAGCCATACCTTCCCATTCACCACCCCAATCTACATTTGAGGTCCAATTACACAGAGAGAAAGGTTCCATCCACTAAACCCATGGCACAGGTGTGGGAGCGTCAACATATGGAAAGAGAAAATAAGAAAAAAATAACAAGAGAATGAAATAAGTTTTGAACAATTGTGTTGCGCAATCAAAAAATATTGGACATATTTTTCAAGACAAAATAAAATTATTAGCCAAATCAATAAGCTATAAATAAGGAATATGAGAGTCCATCTCCATATCAATCATAGATAACAATGATGATGGTTGACTTGTGCATTCCAAGGCACAAGAAGATAGACCTTCTTGTATGAAACTAATAAGCGCAAATAATACCTTGTTAGACCCCTAAAAATCAACCAAAAAAAAAGTAAGAAACACAACTTTTTCGTAATTTTTTTTATATTAATTTTTTGCTGGCAGTGCTTAATAGCTTCACGGTACAAACCACTGCTTGTGTGATGCTTGGTGGATGTGAGAACATAAATGCAGATGAAGACCTCAAAGAGTTGTTTTCATAAATATCCCCTTCAGATGTTAATTTCTAATTCACAATCACTTTATCTATGAAAACATATTAATTATATGCCTTATCATGCACTCCTTAAACATCGATTCATGTGAAGAATGGCTGATTTATATCTGCACACTTTAGAATCAAATGGAAACAAATCAAATCTTTAATCTTATTCTCCTAATCATTTACACGTCTTTACCATTGAGGGTAAGAAAACAAAAATATAATGATTGAGTCAGTATGTGTATGCGATTTTAAAATAAAAAAAAAATATCTAACTTTTACTTTCCAATAAAAATTGCATCATAATTCAATGAAATTGCAATTCCATTCAAACCAGAAGCCAAGGAGAGGGTTTGTTATCAAGCTGAAATTAAGACAACCTTTTGTTACTATATAAGGTGGATAAAGCAAGCCGCCTTACAAAAGTTACCAACTCTCTGAAATAATTTTTTCTTGATGGGCCTTTTTGAGTCAAAAATAGGTAGGCTTGTTATTTCAACTGAAGTTCATACCAAGCAATAACATTTTAAACCATTTTAGAAACAGGATGTTTGTGGAGTAAAAATACAAAAATATGTTCACACAGTCGATTGGCATAAAAAATCTTAAGTTCAAAACAACCATAAGAGATCATAAATAAAGCTGCTTTGAATTTCAAAATTTATAAATTTATCTGCATAATCAAGATTCGCAGATTTAAACAAAAAAATAAAGGAGTGATTTCATGTTCCAAAAACATTTATGAGCATAATAAATCATCCCTAATTAGTAAAAAAAATCATTACATAGCTTATAGACAAAAGCAACTTTCCCTCCTTAATTCAAACTTGGTGCCCATTATGCATAAAAAGAAAGACGCCAATACATCCTCACATTTACTATAGTGTCCATGGGACATATATGCAATTCAGCAAACTGCATACACAAAAACTAAGGCAAGCAAATAAAGGCAACTTGACAAAAAGTCATTTTAAAATTTCAGTCTCCTTGATGCCAGAGTTATTGCAATACCACAACAGAATAATACTTTTATTGTTGAAATTAAAAGAGATTACATGCAAGACACTTGAAAACAGGAACACAATGACACAAGCATAAACTAGGGCCTAGGTCAGGGTGGTGGTGTAGCGGTTTGAGGGGAAGTAAAAGCTATGAAAGGTTGTATAATGGAAAGACAGCAAACTGGTGATGGGTTGGATGGTTTGAGTGGGTGGATGGGGGGGAGGCTGGATGTTGGATAGTGGCGGGGAAAGGGGAAGGGGGCATGACCATATGGACCGATGCGGATTGGACCTTGTTGCAGTAAGCAGGTAGGAGGATGAGGTTAACGATAGTTTGCAGCAGGTTGGTTGAGCCTAGCGGCAATAAACAGGGAGGGGGATGGGTTTAACAGCAGCCAACCTGGAAGGGAAGAGTAGAAGAGGCTGTTGTGGCTATGGGGGTGTGGGGGTGGATGGCAGCGAGGAAGCCAAGGAAAAAGGGAAGGATACACACCACCTCAGAATGAGTTACAGTTGTAGCATATTCTCGCACTCGGATACATCACTATAACAGAATAAGGGGACGCTGAAGGCTGATATTGGCTGATATTCCTTTAGTAGCTCACCCTAACACAGAAAACTGTATATTTATAATAAAGGATAACAAGGAGGGGGAAACCACTCCCCTTGGGTGGCAAACCCCAACCTTAAGCAGGGTTGAGTCCGGTTCAACCTCCATGTTGAACCGATTTGGCAGGTCAGGCCTCCAGCCCCTGCGTCAATCCTCTAGTCAGAAGTTATGGACAAATTCCAACGTTCAAAGAAGTGAAACATAAATTGATGCTTCCATAGTATGGCAAAGGAATAGTTGAAAAAATAATCTCATACACAATAAGAAAAAGGAAGGAGATCTGGACTACACTGTTATGTGAGAAAAATACTAAACTTTCAATGCAATAAGAATGAATAAAACTAAAAAAAGGCATCAATTTGCAAAAACTAAACAGCAGAAACAACTACAATCTCACAAACAAGACAAAAATTAAGCAGCTAAACTCTATAAAAAACAGCCCGAACTTTTTTTCAGAAAATTCATTCAAAACCTACCGTTAAAAGGCCTTAAAAAAACGCAGTAATATACTACTCACATTTGTTTGGTCCCATAGAAGTAAACAAGGAGCTTCTTACGATCGGATGAGAATCCCCACTTCTCAGGTTCACTTATCTGACAAAGTTGAAAGAAGAAAGACTTGAAAAATAAGATAACGTTAACGTTAGCCCACATCAAACATGCAAAGGGCAGAAACCATCCAAACAAACAAAAAAAAATTAAAAATAGGACAAAGGAGATGAACAATAAAAAAGTTCATCAAACAACAACCCCCAGCATCCTTTCTGCCATCCAACCACTTGATCGACCCAAGAAAAAAAAAACCTAGACCAAATCAAACACTAGAAAAAGAAAAAAAGAAAAAAACCCTAGCAAATCAAGCCGGCCTAACCAAGAAACCAATAAGCTTTTACGCAAAGGAAAGGCAGACGTACCATAGCCGGCCACGCCGGGAATCCCTTCATCTTCGCGAGAACAAGATCACCGATCTTCCACTGCTGCAGCGCAGCCGCCGCCGCCGCCGCCGCTGACGTTCTTGTAGATCCTTTCCGACGGTTCGGTGCCATCGGTGTAGCGAGGCCGAACCCCGCAGCCCCAAACTGGAACAAAACCGATCGCTAGATCTGGATATATATAGAAGGCGCCCGTACTAAGAGATCTCCTCACTTTGAATTAAAAGATCTTTTGCTAGATTCAGCGCTCGGAAACCGGCCCAAGCAGAAAACAACAGGTGCCCAAACATTAAAATCGAGAATTCAGAGAGGGGAAGCGAGGGGCGGTGAAAGATGGAGCAGGCTTCCACTGCGGCTGTGAAAAAAGCCCCGATTTCTTGCCGAGGGTTCGAGTGGAAAGATGGTGGGGGTCTGTAGGTAAGGAAGGAGGCGCATGGTGTTGGTGTTATGTGGCAGAAGCGCATTCACGACTTCCTATTCCAACTATATATTATTGCGTTATTTATGTTATGGTTACATTTATAATTAAGTATTTTATGTAGTAGCTTGCTAGATAGACTTTAAAGTGTATGTTGTGAGTGCCAAATGTAGAGTGGAGGTTTTCTCTCCCTCTATTAATGGGAAATGTTTTAATTGTCCTTGTGAATGGTCTAAATGGTGCAATGTAGTGTTGGCTACTTTTTTATTACCATTAAATTTTTTGAATTTATTTAACTTCCAAGAAAAAAATGTGCTTAAATATTGATGGTAAAAATATAATAAGTGTTTTTGATTGAGTGTGATGCAATGATTAGCTATGTTTGTTCATTCGATTGATTTATTTATTGATGATTGTGTAAAATCGTTGAATACTTCTCAAAATTGATAGTCAAAACTTTTTTGAACAGCTAAGACGATTACAACTTTATCCAAGGCATTTTTTTTTATGATGACACTTGATGATGGTTTGTTTTACACAGCATAAATATGATTGCCCTTAATATAAGCAAGCTACATAAATATATTTCAAAAAATAAAGTTATGATGGTTGCACATTAAGAATGTGTCAGCACGGATCAAGAGAAGTTCCTACGGTCTAAAAGAAATGAAGTATAATTAGAGAGGGCTCACTAGCAGGAGACTAAAAGACCCACTCATATAATTAGATGCAGCCATCCGAGTCAACGAAGAAGGTTGATCGAACAAAGAGAATGATAAGAAAAATTATCCAAGTCTGAATCCATCATACTAAAGCAAGACATGAAGCTTTCAAGATAAATACCACTGGAAAGCAAGGTGAAGGCATTGTTTTAACTCTCAGTATATTTGACTTAAGGAAATAATCTGGTTCCTCGTCATCTTTTGTTATC